TTTAAGATGCCAGTGGTAGACAAGTTAAAAATTCTGCATTAAAGGAGAACTAACAATTATGCATCCTTTCATATAATGACTACGTTCATATGACAATTGCTGTGCTGGGTTTCAGGAACACAAACAAATAAAAGGTAGGCTCACAGTCTGAAAAAGGCAATAGACAAGCAAAGAAGCAATGATGGGAGGAGCCTCTAAGGTACTCTAAGCAAAGGAAGGAAAAGATAAGTATGTGTTGCAGAAAAGTTAAGTCTTGCAAAAAATATACTAGAAACAGGAGCATTTATACAGCCTTACCGTGCTAAGCCCAGGGTATTCAAACAAGATTTCCATTCTTCAGGAGCTCAGAATCCCTGATGCTGTCATACAAACCATTTCTAACATACCATTATAATAGGAAGGAGAATTGTAATCCAATTCACCAATGAGGTACATGAACTCATGCACTAGGGCTGACCTAAGGTTTCCCTGGAGAAGAGATACTAGTATAAATTAATAGTACCCAACAGATTATCCAGCAGTCAACTTTACTGAACCAGTTATTTTTCTAAGGCTGAATAATTATGATCATGTTTAAGTGAGCCCTTGCCCCTTGCTTTGTCTGATCCAGATTTCTAGCTTCAGGTCACTCATTCTTAGAGATATACTACAGTATCTCACGTGTTTGTAGAACTCTACAAAGTATCATAATCTCAATAGAACCTTATAAGGGTTATCAAATGAGAGAGGCAGGACAAATAATCTGATTTACAATTTAGAATGAAAAGTTCAGGTTTGTAGATGTTAGGGGACTTAATCTAAAGTTGCTATAATCTAGCTAGAAAGATCATGACTCATGGCTGCTGACTCTTGCTGTGCAAGTATTAAACTTGGTATTGATCTTTTTCTACTGCAATGGACCTTAGGAAGAATAAAATTCAAAAGGTACTATGCAAAATTGAAAATAAATATGATAGGGTGAGATTATGAGTAGTGTTTTTCTTTTTTTAAAGATTTTTGCAGCATAATCTTTATAATTAAGACAATTTTAATTATTGAATTCAATGCCCTCAATTCTTAAGTATAGAAATGGAGTTTCTAAGAGACTAAGGTCTGCCAACAGAGTAAAAACAATTGACAGGGTAAAAATTACAATCCATAATGCAATATATGTTAAGAAAAAAAAAAAGAAGAAGAAGAAGAAGGTAGCGGGAGGGGAAGAATGAAGCGGGGGAAATCGGAGGAGTAGACGAACCATGAGAGACGATGGACTCTGAAAAACAAACCGAGGGTTCTAGAGGGGAGGGGGGTGGGAGGATGGGTTAGCCTGGTGGTGGGTATTGAGGAGGGCACATTCTGCATGGAGCACTGGGTGTTGTGCACAAACAATGAATCATGGAACACTTCATCTAAAACTAATGATGTAATGTATGGGGATTAACATAAGAATAAAAAAAAAATTACAATCCAGGACATTTGACTTCTAGCCCAGTTCTCTTTTTGAGACTGGAATTATATCAAGAACAACAAATTGAAAACTTTTAATTCTAGAGAGATTAATATAAATAAAATAGAAAAAATAGATATAAAGTTACTGATATAAAGGTTTCTACTTTCAAAAAGCCAGTAAGTAAATATAAAATTATAATTTAAAGTAACAAAGCTAAATCATGTTTTTTTCTCATGATTTTGTGTATTTTGGTAAAGAATGAAAATGTCATATACTGCTATCTATTACATAACTGCTATAACTACAGCAGTTTTACAGTAAGAGGAATTACTTTTTACATAGCATTATTAAGTGAACTATAGCTGGTAACAATATCATGCCTTAAGAACTGTCTGTGATAATACTCATATAGCTGCCACACTTTACATCTGATCTACTCAGCTTATCGTCAATATATAAATGCAAGGGACTTTTCAAGGGTCAGTGGGGGAATAAAAGGATGAATCCACTCAGAGTTCGATAAGAAAGAAAAGTATTCCAATTAATATAATGAATGGTTTCAAATGTGAGATAACATTTAAGCAGGTGCTTAAAAAGAAGTGGGATTTATGGAGACAGGAGTGAGAGGCAGCGATATTTTAAAGAAAGAGAACGGCATGAGTTAAGGGCAGCAAGTAGACAGTTCCCAGGATGTATGGGGAACAAAGATTATTCCTGTAGAATATAAGGTGCTGGAGGGCGGCAAGTAGAAAATAAAGCTGTAAGGCCAAATCATGAAGGCCTTGAATGCTAGGGAATTGGATTTTAATTAGTAGGGAATGAGAACTCTAAATAACTCAAAATAGAAATGCAATTAGTCTGGAAATACTAAGTTACCACACAAAATCTGGGAGAAACATCAGATCACTCAACAGTAAGCTCCAGTTTCTAAAAAATAGTTCCATTTCAGATCAAATAGTAATTCTATGAAAAATTTTGTGGTATGTTCAATCACCAAAGCACATCTATGTTTAAAAAGACAGCCAATGGGGGACCTGGGTGGCTCAGTTGGTTAAGCATCTGCCTTCAGCTCAGGTCATGATCCCAGCCCACATGGGGCTCTCTGCTCAGCAGAGAGTTTGCTTCTCCCTCGCTCTCTGCCGCCCTCTGCCTCCCACTGCCTGCCACTCTGCCTGCTTGTGCTCTCTCTCTGTCAAATAAATAACATCTTAAACAATAAAATAAAATAAAATAAAATAAAATAAAATAAAATAAAATAAAATAAAAAATAAAAAGACAGCCCAAAGTAGTTAGGCCCATAATTTAAATAAACTTTTTAAAAGAACCACAGAATTAACAGTCAGTGTGGATTTCCCACAGGTTTTAAGTGTAGAAATATATGCATATTTTTCTAAAGTATAATATTAGATTTTTCTCAAGGATTATAATGGTGTGACCTAGGCCGGGCAGAAGGAAAACTATGTTGAATGGATGAATATAAAGATTTTTAAAAGTAATAAAAGCAAGGAAGGGACTGGTGCCTTTCAGATGCTCTCAGTTAGTTCCTAAGCTGTGGGTCTTGAATTCGTAAAGGTGACAATAAAGGGGAAGTGGCAGTGGATGACAGCACATAATTTGTGGTTGTAGAGATGATTTCGAGCATCTATAATATAGCCTGCACCACTGAACAGAGGAGAGGGTGTCAAGTTAAGCAGGTCTGAATTTAAAAGCTGGTTTTGTGATCTTGAATACATTTATTTTTCTGTAATTCATTTTTTTAATCTACAAAATGAGGATAACAAATATTTACAGAAGAGGATTAGAAGAGTATAGGAAAGTACCTGATGAATATTCAATAAATGATAGCTCTTAAAGAAAAATTTAACACTTACTAAGATCCTACTGTATGCCTGCCACTGTGATTCTGTGGTTTTTAATCTTTGTCAGACTTTGGAGAGAAGTAAATTCTACTTAGAAAGGTGATCAAGGAGCAACTCAAAGTATTTCTCTCTCCCAGTTAGGAAATGTCCTTTGGAGAGGCAAGCCATCTTCACACTTTAGTGCAATCAGTTCCTTACTCAAAGTTGCTGGGTTTTCTTGGAAGTGGAAGAAGGCAGTCTGAGTTAGAAACTTTATGAGGGCACTCAGTATGACAGGAAGGTGTGGAAGAAGAGGAAAAGGAGGGAGAGAAACCACAAAACAAACAATGCCTCTAATTTGAACTAGAGCTTTAGAAGGGATTTTTGTGTCCCCTGAGAATCTCTGAGGAAGATAATTGAGGCATCAGTATCAAGACTTGTGCCAAAATCAGATTCCTCCCTTTCATCCTGGTCTCACCAGTTCCCGGTGGTAATATTCCCTTTCAGTGCCATATACAAGATAAGAAAGAGAATGAGAAGATATGTAGGTAGGACTACTCTGTTCACCTCCTCTATTCTCTTTTTTCTTTCTTTTTTTTTTTTAAGATTTTATTTATTTGAAAGAGAGCAAGAGATCGAGCTCATGAGTATGAGCGGAGGGGGAGGGGAAAAGGGAGAGGCAGACGCACGCAGAGCGTGGAGCTTGTGGGGGCTCAATCCCCGGACGCTAGAGATTATTATTTGAGCTGAAGTCAAATGCTTAACCCCCGAGCCACCCAGGCACCCCTCTCCATCTCATCTTAACTCTCAGGGAAACTCTGGTGAGCTTTTTATATTCACTGATCTTGTTAAGAGGCAATCCTCACTTCTCAACCCACCACAACCATAAAAATGCTAAGTGACTTAAGGATTTTTTTTTAAATCAATTTTGTAGCCATTCAGTCGGGTTGGTCCTAGTAAATCAGATTTTCTCTACTTCCAATATCCTCAGCTTAATTTAGGCAGTGAAGATCCGGCCCTAAATTTTGGCGACCCAACCCCCCAACCTTAACATTTCACAGGCTGCAGAGCGGCATAAAGCGGAGACTGCCAATTTCGGATTCTGGGATTTCCAGGACATCAGGGAAAACAACTGAGAGGTCCACCCAGGGGTGAATTCCACAGATAGTTTCTTCTCTCTGGGGTCAGTGCTTTAACATCTGGGTAGTCAGATCGTGCAGACACGGTAACTAAGCGCAGAAAACAGCTGGGCACGTTGCTCTGAGCCCAGACCGACCGTGACCAGTAGTTCTTTGAAACCGTTTCTGGAAATACCAACTCCAACAGGCGCGCAGCGTTTGAGTGCTGATAAGGCAAGCTGAATTTAGAATTTTGGGGCCAAGTCTCACTTTTGCGAATTCCTTTTACTTTTGGTTAAGTTTTTTAACATTGGATTTACCCCGGGTAGAGAAGGTATACGGTGGCAACGTCACGCAGCTGGAAAAATAACTGCACTCACATACTCCCCAGATTCTGCACAAACAGGTTTGGAAGAGAAAACTTAGGAAGTCCAAGTTCAGCATTAAAATAAATGACTCGCCACCAAAGATTAACGAGCACTTCCCTCTCGGTTTACCCTTCGGACGCACCTCGCGCTTAGCGCGCCTGCGCCCGCCAAACTACAACCCCGCCTCCTCTTTGGGGACGTAAAACGTGAGCCGAGAGGCGGGACGCGGGCTGAGCATGCGCCCTCATTGCATCAGCCGCTGGGTCTGTGCTGGCGGCTGGTACGTCGGAGAAGATTGTGTTTGCTGCAGGGCACCTCGCGGGGTCTGGCGCGGTGTGCCGGGAGACTAAGAAAAGAAGGGCTAGAGTAAGTGTTCCCCTGGGCCGCTTGAGTCGGAGCTAGAGTATTTCCTTCCTGCCAGGCAAGTGCCCGTAGGAACCGGACCCCGCCCCCTTCCCGGCCTAGACTCTCTTTCCCCTCCCTGTCCCTTTCCCACTGGGGATCTTTTCGTTTCCTCTTGTTCTGCCTGCGAACCCCCGCCGAGGTCATGAAGCTCGTGAGAAAGGACATTGAGAAAGACAATGCGGGCCAGGTGACTCTAGTCCCCGAAGAACCTGAGGATATGTGGCACACCTACAATCTAGTGCAGGTGGGCGACAGCTTGCGTGCCTCCACCATCCGCAAGGTACAGACCGAGTCCTCCACGGGCAGCGTAGGAAGCAACCGGGTCCGCACTACTCTCACTCTCTGCGTGGAGGCCATTGATTTTGACTCTCAAGCCTGCCAGCTGCGGGTTAAGGGGACCAACATCCAAGAGAATGAGTATGTCAAGATGGGGGCTTACCACACCATTGAGCTGGAGCCCAACCGCCAGTTCACTTTGGCCAAGAAACAGTGGGACAGTGTGGTCCTGGAGCGCATCGAGCAGGCCTGTGACCCAGCCTGGAGTGCAGATGTGGCGGCTGTGGTGATGCAGGAAGGCCTCGCCCATATCTGCTTAGTCACTCCCAGCATGACCCTCACTCGGGCCAAGGTGGAGGTGAACATCCCTAGAAAACGGAAAGGCAACTGTTCCCAACATGATCGGGCTTTGGAGCGGTTCTATGAACAGGTGGTCCAGGCTATCCAGCGCCACATAAACTTTGATGTTGTGAAGTGCGTCCTGGTGGCCAGCCCAGGATTTGTGAGGGAGCAGTTCTGCGACTACATGTTTCAACAAGCAGTGAAGACCGACAACAAAGTGCTCCTGGAAAACCGGTCCAAGTTCCTTCAGGTAAAATCTTCTCCAAGGATAATTAAGATTGGGCAGAGGGATTTGTATAAACTACTCTTAAATTTTGGAACCGGGAAAAGTACGAGGGGAGAAAGTGTTCACTGGACTGTGATTGTAAGTGAGATAATGAAATGAAAAGAGAGTTGTTAAATAGACTGTTTACATAGTAAACTTCGCTTAAGTCCTCAAACATATAAAGCCATATTTGTGCTTTTGGCTTTAGGTCACTGCAGGCTGATTAATGGGTACTCTAAGAGATTCTTTTGTCTAACTTTCATAATTATGATTCTAGGTACATGCCTCCTCTGGACACAAGTACTCCCTGAAAGAGGCCCTTTGTGACCCTTCTGTAGCTAGCCGCCTTTCAGACACTAAAGCTGCGGGGGAAGTAAAAGCCTTGGATGACTTCTATAAAATGTTACAACATGAACCTGACCGAGCGTTCTATGGACTCAAGCAGGTGGAGAAGGCCAATGAGGCTATGGCAATTGACACACTGCTTATCAGCGATGAGCTTTTCAGGCACCAGGATGTCGCTACACGAAGCCGGTATGTGAAGCTGGTGGACAGTGTGAAAGAGAATGCTGGCACGGTTAGGATATTCTCTAGTCTTCATGTATCAGGGGAACAGCTCAGTCAGTTGACTGGAGTAGCTGCCATTCTCCGCTTCCCCGTCCCTGAACTCTCTGACCAAGAGGATGATTCCAGTTCTGAAGAAGATTAATGATTGGACCTTATAACTGATAAAAGCTGTGTCTCCATTGTTACATTTTCTTAGCATCCTGACAGAAAGCTGCAAGGCACCTTGTGATTCTTACAGGGATTTCTCATGTATTTGGCCACACTAGGTATTTTGTGATTGGCAGGACATGTGTTCAAACTAAGCAATAAATTAAAAGGAAATAATCGCCATGTACTACCATTTTTATTAATTAGAATAATTTATGTAGAAATTATGAGTTATTTGCAATACTTAAAAATACTTTGTATATATAAGAATGCCTATATATTCTTTGGGATAGATCATAAAATCCCAGTGTCATACTTTGAAATAAGTTTTCCTTAGGAAAAGCTATTTAATATTTCATTATCCTCAGTTTACATTGTTTATTTTAATTATGCATAGTGTTCTTATACGGGATTTAATGATCCCTTTCCTCCATTTCCTCTACACTTTTTTTTTTTAATTTGCTATTTTAAGTGATGGCCAAATAATTTGTAGACTTTTCTAGAAGACAAATTTAAAATGTTATTTTTCTTAAGAGACTTGTTAAATCAGTCATGTTACAAGTAAACTCGTGGTGGGTTTTTGTTTCGCCTTGTTTTACAGTTAATCATACTTGCTTTGGAGGAACACTTCATCAGTTATTTTTAGATCATAGAGTTTTGATCTGCTAGGGATTCTCAAGATAAGTTATTTGAGGTATCTTTATTTTTTTTAAATGCAATTAAGGTGTGTGATTTGCTGTTACGTGGCTAATTAGTGCTAAAGCTGAAAAGTAGTCCCTGCTCTGGGCTCCATTTCTTTGCACTGCCACACTAATTATGTATTTATTTGGCTTATCCTAGATATATGTAGTGCTATCTTATATTTCTATGTGGCATTAGTCTGTGCTTGCACATTCTTAACCAACTGAGCCACCCAGGCGCCCTGTGCTTGCACATTCTTATTGGACTCTCTCTCTACATCCTATTTTAGGGGGTGAAAGGCCTGTTCAGAAAGTTTGATTAAGTCACATCATTAGTAGTATGTGGTAGTTGACTTGTACTCCAGTACTCTACTGTAATGAGGGAGTTTCTGCTCTGCTAATACCTGAGATTTTAAAATATTTTCATTAAGTATTTTGGATGTGCATTTTAAGAGTTCGGGAGGGATCCTTGGAATGGACTTGCATCCTGACCTTTTACAAACCTCAATTTAGCAAAATAATTAGGAAAGGCATTATGAAGAAAGAGTGGTAATTAAGTTTGTAACACATTGGTACCTACTTCAAATACAGATACTAAGAAAACTTTTGCTGTCCTTTCTGTGTCTAGGCTTTTCTCCTGGGACAAGTGCCAGGTCTGGGGATTATTTTTTTTATAAACTTCTAACTAAGCTGAGTTTATTTTAATCTATAATTAGGAATAGACACTTCCTGGGCGCCTGGGTGGCTCAGTTGTTAAGCATCTGCCTTCGGCTCGAGTCATGGTCCCAGGGTCCTGGGATCGAGCCCTGCATCGGGCTCCCTGCTCGGCGGGAAGCCTGCTTCTCCCTCTCCCACTACCCAGCTTGTGTTCCTTCCCTCTCTTGCTGTGTCTCTTTCTGTCAAATAAATAAATAAAATCTTAAAAAAAAAAAAAAGGCATAGACACTTGCATATACTTTAAAATCACATTTCTACATATCTACCTCCTAAAAATAATTTAGATTGTCATTTTATTGTAAGTCCATAGATATTTAAAATACTATGAAAAGCATGTTATTAAATCATTTGGTAGGTGGATAGAAATGAAACTGCTAAGATTCTTAACGTTAGAACCTGATTGATAATGACTCATATTATCAGTAAGAATTTGGAGACTTGGGGCATATAGTACTCTCATAATCTATGCAGTACTGGTTAATCCTAGCTCTGTTACCTACTGTATTAGAAACAAGGAGAAATGAAACCTACCCATAAATCTGACCAATACATTTTAGGTCAAAGGTTCTCAAATTTAGCTGCTTATTAGCCTGAACTTGGGAGCTTTTAAACTCGTTACCATGACTGGATCCCAGACTCAATAACCTTTCACCCCTAGAAATGGTTTTTTTTAGCTCTCCAGGTGATTCCATTAGGTATCAAGACTTAGAACCAATGATTCAGGCCTTGCTGTTCAGAAGTGTGGTCCATGGATAACCAGCAGACTATGGACCAAGACCCTGAGAGCTTGTTAGAAACCAGAATCCTGGACCTTCTGAGTTTCAGTCTGTATTTTAACAACATCTCCAGTTGATTACTATGCATAATAAAAACTGATAAACATAGGCAATAGTTTATTCTCCCTGTACCAGTAAAAATCTCTGGCTGGGGTTGCCAGCCATAGAGAAGAACATTTGAGTCTCAAGGTTGATTTCAAGAGCGTTAATTGGCCAGTATTCAGCTTAACTATCTATAAAACTTCTCGAAATAAAAGCGTATTTTTTTTTTTTGTCTATAAAGTACTTAAAATATCTTCAAGAATTCCTATTTTTAAAAAGTTACATTTTGGGGTGCCTGGGTGGCTCAGCTCAGGTTTTGAGATGGAGCCCTGCACTGGGCATGGAGCCTGCTTAAGATTTTAAAGTTTAAAGTTTAAAAGTTTTAAAAGATTTAAAGTTACATTCTGTACCATTGTCAAGAGTATTAATCTTCATATATGTATAGGGTGAAATACCAAAATAGTGATAGCATATAAAATTTAAAAATTAAATTTTTTTACTATTCTCTAAAAATCAAAATGAACCATAAGTCTTTGGAAATCGTATTCAGTAGTCTAATTCATTACTATGAATGTCTAATTTAACTTCTATTCATTAATAAGGAACAGTTTGGTTACAAATGGAAACACCTCTCAAGGCAATGTTGTACTGTAAATGTCCATTTACCATGAGGTACTTGTAAACAAAGATTTGCTACCCTCCCCCGCCCCTGCAGTATAATAAATGAGAAGCTGACAGATTGTTTCATTTTACTCTAGGTATGAAATATATCAAGTTTATTTTGCTAATAGGTCCCCCATTTATATGTTAAGTATTTTGCTAGCTTTATGTCTGGATTGTTGATTCTGGATTTCATTTCATTTCACTCTTCTATACAAGGTGGATCTTTTTCCACCCAGATGCCACTATAGTAGCTTTGTAAAACTAATTTTCCTTTATCTCTACCTATTTTCTGTCATTAACTTTATTTTCCTTTTTTAATCCCTGTGACCAGTTCTCTTAACCTCAAAATATCTTTAACAGAAGTGATTCATATTTTTTGCAATTCATGTATTGTGGAACTGAAATTTCCTTCATTGCTAAAAATAAAAGTACACAGATGAATGGTGTATATGTGAGTTCCCCAAAGTAAAAGCTGTTACTGGGGAAAGGAGTATTGTGCTTTTAAATCAGATAGTTTTCCAAGCAAATAAGATTGGATATTTGTGTTCAGTATCAGAATATGTTGAATTGCATGTTGAATAGGTGTTTCTAAGGTGATTCTGAGTGTTTGAGGAGAAAGAAACCCTTTGCCTGTGTCCAGATCCTAGAAATGGGGCATCTGTATTTATATTATACCCATTATTAAAGGTGGTACATTTAGTTTTATCCATTTGGTTTTTAGTGCCTACTTTGATCCAAGCACTGAGCTGGGTTTAGGAAAGACAAACATGTAAACAAATCACTGTTAAAAAAGCAACTTGTAGAAAGTGTAAGAGAGCACAGTGTTGGAAGGGGTCACTTTTAGGAGGAACTTGATAGAGCTGGAGCCAGTAAATTTACCTAAAATGGTGAGAAGAACCCCAGAGAGGTTATTGGGAAAAGGAGAGGGGCAGGGTAAGTATGCTAATCACATTAGACCCTCCATGCCACAATAAAGAGTGGTTTGACAGTAATGAGAAACTACTGAAAAGTTTAAGCAGGAGAATGGCATGTTTGCATTTCACAAATATAACTGTTCAGCAGTATCAAGGATGAATTGGAGGAGGCAAGAAGACTGGTTAAGAGAATGCATATTAGAAAAACCCTGGGGAAAAGCAATGTTGGCTTGAACAAGGGTAATAACAATAATCCTTGCAACAAGAATAAAAAGAAGTCAATAGGCAATATGAAGAGATAGGATCAAAAGGACATAGGCTGCAGATTGTTGTTCAGTTAAAGAGTAGACCATAGGGGTAAGTCTCAGATTTTTTTTTTTAATGTGGGAGAGATGATGGCACAATTCAAAAAGCAAAACAAAATAAATCCAGGAAATATAGGAAGAGAAGCTGGCTTGCAAGGAAAAACAGTAAGTTCAGTTTTGAATCTTTAAGGGCATCTGGGTGGCTCAGTCAGTTAAGCATCCGACTCTTGATTTTGGCTCAGTCATGATCTCAGGTTGTGAGATTGAACTCCAAGTCCAGCTCCATACTAGGCATGGAGCCTGCTTAAGATTCTTTCTCCCCCCTCTGCTCTTCCCTGCCCCCCTCCCAACACTCTCTCTCAAAAAAACTGAGGATGCCTGTAGGACATCTGAAATGCTCTTCCACCAGATTTCTATATGCTCACTTACACTCTTAAGGTTTTTGCTAAAAGTTCACCTCAGTAAGTTCTAAGCCAGTAAGATAACTTCTCCAAGATTTCTTTCCAAGCCCTTCTTTGTCTTAGTTTTCTCTATAATGCTTATTTCATTTAGTTGTTTTGCTTATCATCTGTCTAGAATGTAAACTCCATGAGGGCAGACTATTGTATGTTAGGTTCATTGCTATATCCTTAATGCTAAGAACACTGGCACACAGTAGATGCTCAAAATATTGGGGGGTGGGGGGGGTAATGAATGAATGAGTGAATTCATTCAGTCCCTTAGTTAAGAAGGTCCCTTAGTTAATTGAGCACACAGGCCTGAAGTTCAAGAAAAAGCAGTTGGCTGAGGTTAATGATAAAAGAATTGTCAGCATATAAGTAAACCTGAAATCAGAGAGAGAAAGAAAGGAAAAAAAAAAAAAAATGGCCTAGCAAGAATTAGTAAAGCTAGGGAAAAAGGCCAGGCACAGAAGCATAGGGAAATAGATAATCTCTTTAAATGTTCCTTGACTCCATTACCAAAGTCCTTTAAAGTAGAGATATTTCTATGTTTCAATAATTAATATGGTCAGATAATTATTTTTTCCCCTACAGAGCTCTTTAATGTTCTAGAGATATACAAGTAGAAGAGCCAAAGTGCCAAAGTGTTGATTACATAAAAGTTGAGTTTTAAAAGTTCCTAAGATAAAAAATTTCTAAATTTGAGGGCAAAAGCCAAATTACTTTTGTATATGGGTTTTAAGTGAGTCTTAATATGCATATATATTTGCAAATTTAGTATATGAAAGTTCCAATTAAAAAAAGGATATAGTAGGGGTGATAATTGAACTTATTAAGAGACTTTTTCAGGATTTCCATAACACAGGAATTATTAGCAAGTTCTGTCTCATTCAGGCCAGGTTTATAGCAGTATTACTGCAATTGGACCCTTAACCCTTGGGCTCCCTGTCCGTGGCATCTTTGATTTCCCTCAGCACACTTCTACTCCCTGCAGAACCACAAGTGTCACAACTGTGGCATGGATTTTGCAATGTTTTATTTATATTTATTTTAAAAATTGATTTTGGTCAGCCCATAATTTTGTTTATACACATTTTTCGGTAAATGAGTTTCCAAGTAGCAATTTTAGTGAGGACTTAAAAAGAAGCACAACTTCAGATAAAGTTTTCAAAACCTCTAAATAGTTGTCTTCATACTGATGTGTCAGCATCTTTAAGGTTTATGCAGAGGTTCAGTTTATGTATTCTAGGAGATGTAGTATTTTAGACAAGCGCTAGTCAAGATTTTCTTAATGCATTATGTGCACTGCTGATCAACTGGCAGTTTAGTAGAAGTTTAGCGCAGAAATGTTACTGAAAAGTCCTAATGATTTCTAAGGGAGTTTGAGATGGGAATATAATACTTGTGTGTATTAATGATGCCTTATTTAGAAAAGATTCAAAAGTCAACAATGCAGTTGGTTAAGATATTGGGCAGTAAGGTCCATAATAATGGTCTTGGAGTTTAGCAAGAACAATCGGAGTAGTTACTTAATGTAGTCATCAAGTAACAGGTAAATTTCACTAAAAATGAAAAATAAATTGGCCAAATTCAATAAGGAGCTAGTTAGATTAGGAAAACTATAAAAAGCATTGACAAAAGATACTTGTTAAGCTGAAGTAGAGATGATAAAATCTCATTTGTCCTTTTTCTTTATATAGCAAGAATTCTTCCTTTCTAGGGAGTGTTTGATTTAGTATCACCATCTGTATTCTCATCCCTATTTTAGAGTGTTCTTTATAGATTTCTGAGTGTAGTAATTTGTAAGATAACCCATTTACATTGCAGTATTTAATTTCTATATTTTAAGAAACATGTCAGTATATTCTATTGTGATAACTCTGGGAAAGAAACTGGGATATTGTGAATTTGTTCATTTAAATTGAGGTGAAACTAATGCATTTACTCAAGGAAAATCCACTCTTGTGTGTAATACTTTAGCTGCAAACAAAATTGAGGCTATCATTTTTGCTCTTGACAGTGAATATTTTAATTCTGTAATAGCAGCATCAATATGGGAAAGGTCTTACTTCCAGGTGCCAGTCACTAAAGTTTGTGACATTTATGATAAATTGTGGGGACTTGGAGTACTGCCTTCTTTTAAGTTCCTTTCTCAGCCCTTAACATTCCCCACCTTAAAATCCCATTATTTAGAATACTAGTATAATGGAAATGTGCCTGTTTTCCATATTGAAAGAGAGTTAAAGGACTTAGAGCTTATTTCAGTGTAGGGTGCCACATTTGGTTCAGAACTATCTGGCAAGCTGTAAGCACAAGAGAAAAATGTCTTTACAGACAGCAGTGCCTCGCCATTCACAGGGTTGGCTCCACTGTCCCAAATCCGGGAATGGACAACATATCACAGTATAGGTAACTACATACTTATTGAGGGCCAGGTCTGTGGTAAAGTACTTTAGACTGAATTTTTTAATTCTTTGAAGAGTCCTGCGAGGAAGATTTTGTCATTACTATCTTCAGATAAGAAAACAAATTAGAAGAGGTTAAATCATTTGCCCCAAATCACATAGCTAGTGGGTGTGAGGATGTGCCTACTCAAGCTATAATCTAAAAAATGTAGGAATGCCAGTTCATTCCTTAGTTTTCTGTTTGGAGTAGATCACATGTGCCTAGAAATAGAAGAATTATTCAATAACACTAAATTTTATATAATCAGCCAAAGTTTAAGCAATCATTTTATAAGTTTTTTATTTACCTACCACTATTATTTTTCATCTCTCTTTGAGTCTCAGGAGCTCAAACCTATGGCATTCTATCTAGCATATGAGAATTAGAAAGTGTATGGAAACTGTTGCAAGACTATGTATTAGACCAATCCCCTCAAGCCTTTAGTTAGCCTCTATTATTATTTCACACCCAGTTTTAGCAAGCTTGTTTTAAAAAAAAAAAATTTAAACCTACTATGTTAATTCATGCATTATTTCACCAAACACATATTTACTAAAGTGTCTGAAGTAGCAGGAACTATGCTGCCCTTGGGTATGCAAAAATGAATTAAGAGTTTTTTCCCTACCTTTCATCAGCAAATTAAATATTGGGAGAGATGATCACAAGTGGCCAAGCTGACAGAGGTTCAAAAGAAGAAAGTCTAGGGCTGAGACTATTTCACTGGGGTCTGAGGACATTACTGTATTATAGTAACTGATGTTCATATTGAGGAAAAGATTGAATTACATTCAGTGTATTCTGTTAAAAAATCAAGGAAATATAATGTCTTTCAAAAGTATTTTCTTCCAAAATTATTAAAAGTTAGTGGTACTTAAAGAAATCTTTAGCTATCTGTCATACCTAGAATGACAGTTCCAGATAGCCAGAGTTTTACTAAACCATAAGATCTCAATAATAAAACAGAAATAATTGTTGAAAGATAAATTCTCATTAAGGAAAAAACTCCAATAGATTTTAGTTGTAAATTTATCAGACAGAGATGGGAGGTCCTGTGAGTTCAAGTCTATGTTCCAGAAGTTTTATGTCTGGAATTTTTCATCAAGTCCTAGTGTAAACATTGACAAGAACTTTTTGTTTGACACTGTTATGAAAAATTGCTCTGTGAATATAAAGCATATTTTAATCTTTTATTTCACCTCATTGATCCTGGAACCATAATTTGTAGTTTTTTCTTCCTCTGCAAGTGTACTGTTGACAATGATAGGAGTCACTTTTTTCTAGGGGGAGGGGTTTGAGGTGGAGGAGAGGGAGATTGAAAATACATTGCCGTGCATGCCTGTGAATCGTTTAGAATCATGAAAGGTTCATGCTGTAAGGAACCGTATATGTCATCTGGCCTGCTCACTTCATGATATAGATGTAAACTTGAGGCCCAGAGAGAGTTGGTAACTTGTTCAAAGTCACATGAATAGCAGTTTTTCATAGGGTTCACATTCCTGTTTGATCCATCCTGTTCGAATTTCTTACCCGTTTTCTTGTCACCAATGCATATTGGGAGATGGTTAGGTTTGAGAAACAAGGAAATTAGGATCTTAGAATGCTTTAAACCCTCATTTACCAAATAATTTATCTTGTGGCAAAGCAGTTTCTCTTTCGGCAGCATCACTGAGACCCAAACTTAGCTTTGAATTTCAGTTGTTCATTCCTTGGAGGAGTATTTATCTTCTGCTAGAGAAAGATCCTGCCTCCTACCTTTCTTTTTCTGAGAAGCATTTCATTCTTCTGACAACCATTTACTAAGTGCCTACTATGTGCCAGGCACTTTGCCAGCCCCCAGCAATATAAGGTGAGTAGAAAAGATTGCAGTCCCTTCCTTACAGGGAAAGCCAGTCTAGGATGGGAAACAGACAGTAAACAAGCTATCATGGCACTGCAATTGGTACAGGAATAAGAAATGTTGTAGAAGACACATCACCAAAGGCAAGGGAAGCAAGGGCAAAAATGAACTATTGGGACTTCATCAAGATAAAAAGTTTTTGCACAGCAAAGGAAACAGTCAACAAAACCAAAAGACAACTGACAGAATCAGAGAAGATTTTTGCAAATGACATATCAGATAAAGGGCTAGTATCCAAAATCTACAAAGAACTTATCAAATTCAACACCCAAGGAACAAATAATCCAATTAAGAAATGGGCAGAAGACATGAACAGACATTGCTGCAAAGAAGACGTCCAAATGGCCAACAGACACATGAAAAAGTGCTCAACATCACTTGGCATCAGGGAAATAACAAATCAAAACCACAATGAGGTACCACCTCACACTAGTCAGAATGGCTAAAATTAACAAGTCAGGAAATGACAGATGTTGGCGAGGATGTGGAGAAAGGGGAACCCTCCTACACTGTTGGTGGGAGTGCAAGCTGGTGCGGCCACTCTGGAAAACAGTATGGAGGTTCCTCAAAAAGTTGAAAATAGAGCTACCCTATGACCCAGCAGTTGCACTACTGGGTATTTACCCCAAAAATATAAATGTAGTAATCTGAAGGGACACCAGCAAACCAGTGTTTATAGCAGCAATGTCCACAATAGCCAAACTATAGAAAGAGACCAGATGTCCATCAACGGACAAATGGATAAAGAAGATGTGGTGTATATATATATATATATATATATATATATATATATGTACACACACACACACACACACACACACACTGGAATATTATGCAGCCATCAAAAATTAAATCTTACCATTTGCAATGACATGGATAGAACTAGAAGGTGTTATGCTCAGCAAAATAAGTCATTCAGAGAAAGGCAATTATCATATGATCTCACTGATATGTGGAATTTGAGAAACAAGGCAGAGGATTATAGGGGAAGAGAGGAAAAAATGAAACAAGAAGAAACCAGGGAGGGAGACAAACCATAAGAGACTCTTAATCTCAGGAAACAAACTGAGGATTGCTGGAGTGGAGCGGGGTGGGAGAGATGGGGTAACTGGGTGATGGACACTGGGGAGGGTATGTGTTTTGGTGAGCACTGTATATTCGGTAAGACTGATGAATCACAGACCTGTACCCATGAAACAAATAATACATTCTATGTTAATAAAATAATAATTAAAAAAAAGAAATGTAGTAGAATGTAGGAGCTCAGATGGTGCTCTTAATTCAGACTGGCTTCACTGAAGAGGTGCTATCAGAGCTAAACTGATCAATTCCAGAAGCCCACATTGATCTTCCATTGTTTTCCAGAGAGATAAGGCAAAGAGAACTGAGGACATTTACCTTTTAAAGCCCCTCAAGTTTATTTGGTACCTTTTTCTTCTATGTAGGGTCACTGTAATCCCTAAGCTCTCTAGATGTTAAATATTTACAGTAAAGAGTCAACAAACCTAAGAAGAAGAAACATCATGGAGAAAGGAGATTACATCACCTCCTACCCTCAAAACTGAGTGGAAAAGTACAAGTGGAATGAGAAGTACGGATCAGGGACCATGACTGAAATGACCGGAGATTCTGGAACCTTTATATTTTCCACGTTTTTGTTTTCTCCTGTTCCTCTGTCATGACTAACAGCAAAACAGTTAATCCAGAAAGGACAGCAAAGAAGGAGATGGTGAGAGGGAGAGCATGGGACATTATGTCCTACTCCATAGCCATTCTTGGAAGAGAGGAAGTCCAAAAGAGAGGGGCTGATGGCAGCTACCTCAGGGCAAGGAAAGCAGACCGCTGGCCAGCTGTCAAGAAAGAAGTGACAGGGTACTTGCTTAGGTCTGGGGAGGGGGCCACGGGGGGAAGGCCCAGAGGCTGGACAGTAGAAGGACCTGCTAGAGTCTTTCCTCTTTCTTTATTCAGCATTTTATCCTCAGTGTAAAATTTAGGGAAACACCCTTAATAAAAAGGAATGACTTCTCTCTTAAGTAGTATGTTTCACTAACTGGCCAACATGGATGGGGTATGGTGGAAGGAAAGGAAATTTTCTGCAGAAGAGAGAAAAGAACAATATAAAAGGAGGAATGACTCTGGGAACAGCTCTCTGACCCTTTGTGTCTCTTGGTGTTCTTAACTGAGTGAAAAGACATGGAATACATGTGGAATGGTGGGGAAGTAGGAAGAGCTGAAGTAAAATTATCTGCCTCATTAAATGTAGTCATATATTTTTTTAAAAAATTAATCTGTTATCACTAAAACTCAGATACTAAATTTCTCACTCTGGGCCTAACTCCTTGCCTAGAACTTAAGAGAGCTTAATAAGTGTTAGAATTTTTCTTATCTTTCTGGAAATCATCTTCACCTTATCTGACTCCTCTACTTGCCCTAAGTCACAGTAAAATATAGTGGGAAATGGGGTGAATAGACAGGAAATACAGAGAAAGACAAGACCTTTTGATAATGGTTTGTTATGGATTTACTCTTAGATTTGCGTTTGATGCATGTGTTCACATATATTCTTCTGGATGAATTAGAAACTAATTGTCAGAATCAAGAGTATAGTACTTGAGACTGTGGAAAGGATGTTACATACCAAAAATTACAATGTAATTTGAATGCTATTTGCCACAGTTACCAAAGATCATATATAAGCATTTGCAAAAACATTGCATTTGTGAACAACCAAAATGAATCACAGCAGAAGAAATCATTTGGCCATTTTCAGAGGACTCTGTGGCTGTGGCAGGGCAAACATGAAAACTGGCCTGTGAGTCAGGAGATCAGGATGTACCCAGGCCCTACCATTAGGTTGTGTGACTTGAGGAAATCACTTCATTCTTTTGAGCCTCTGTTTTTTCATCAATAGAATGAGGAAAAGACGGGTGGCCCTTGATTTCATAGTTGCTCTTGCAGATCTCTGATTCTACTGGGTACAGTAGCAATAACTGCTTGTTATTTTTAAAATTTGTATCTTTCCAGCAAAATAAATCTTCAGTGATTCTCAGGTTTAAAAAGAATCTATTTTTCACCATATTCCAAAAGCTGCCAAATTTTGGGTTTGGCTGACTGCTAAAGAGAGCAGCCTCCTAGGAGCAAATTCCAGAGCTGAGGGTCATTTATTTGGAATGCTTTGCCAAATACTCCCATATTTTCAAAGTTGTTGGGGCCTTTAAACTTGAACATTCGGGGAGAAACAGTTGTTTAAGACACTTTTTCAATAGGTGCACAAAAATTTTGAAGTTTACAGATATTTTTTAATCATTTGCGACATCCCAATGGCATGCCAAGTTGCATAGTCCTGCCACCTTCCTCCTTGTTATTTTCCTTCCCTATCAACTGATTGCTGTCCCAAAGAACTGGACATGAGAAAAACACAGGTCTTTATTTATTCTGGAATGTTCTTTCAGTTTGACCAGTGGTTCTCAAACCAGGCTGCACATTAAAATCAACGAGGGAGTTTTAATATCACACTGCTGACTGGGTTCCACCCCAAGACAATTAAGTCAGAATACTTGGAAGAAGAGCCCAGGCATGTGTACATTTAAAAAAGTTCCCCAGGTGTTTCTTATCTGCAGCCCCGTTAAACCATGGCAGGTCATCACTAAGTAAGCTGGTTGGCTTTAATATGTTCTGCGGCCACAATGCCAGTCAGCTGCCTAGCTAAGAAAAAGAGATGGAGCATAGAAAAAAAATGTGGAATTGTAGATTAATTATCTCCACTAGTGAAAAGACAACTTCAAAAATTGATGAGGGGAATTTATTTCTTTAGCTTTAGTGCCTAAGTATGGGATTTGTCTGTATCTTTGTGTATTGACTTGCTATAATAAATTCACAATTTGGACTAATGTTGACCAATTTGTGAATATTTATTGATGCCTTTTACATGTGCATATGTTACTAGGTACAGTGGGGAAGGATACAAAAAAGTAGAGAAACTCATTCCCACTTCTTGAAGGATGGAGCATATAAATCTTGGGCTGCAAGAATTATGTAAGACAGAACCAAGACAGCACAATCATATATTGTACAGAGAGTAAAAGCTAAAATTGTTGATAAGAAGATAATATCAAATTGGCTAGACTCTCTTGGGTAGATGGTATTTAAGTATGAGCTGCCTTTTTTTTTTTTAATTTTAAGATTTATTTATTTATCTGAGAGAGAGAGAGAGAGTGAGCAGTGGAAGGGGTAGAGGGAGGGGGAGACAAGCAGAGTCCCTGCTGAGTGGGGAGCCCAACACAGGTCTCGATCCTAGGACCCTGAGATCATGACCTGAGATGAAATCGAATCAGTTGTTTAACTGAGCCAGAGTATAGGCCACCTTCTAAATGTCTTCTTTCACTCAGATGGCAGGAAGCAGTGATAAAAACATTGACCCTGAACTAGAAAATCTTAACTCTACCACAGATGAGCTCCATGACCTTGGGCAAGTCATGTTATCTTTATGATCCTCAAATTTAGATTTATGAGCTTCAACCTGCAAAATGGGAAAAATGATTAAACTTGCCCTATAGAGTTGCAAGGCATAAATGATATGATTTAAACAAAATACCTGAAAATTATTAAGAGATGTATTTAACTTAGTTTAATTCCTCCTTCCTTTTGTATCTTTTTTTACCCTATGTACCACCTAGGCACCAGATCAACTGTGGAGGTATGATGCAAAAGAAATACTTCATGTCCTTTCCTATCATAAATTTCTACCATCTGCCAAAGAGATGTTAAAAACAGAAAAAGTGGACCCACTCCCTCCAGAGTTACCTTCAGTGAGAGATGGGTTAGCCAGACCATGCTTGGCATTTATAACATTTTCATTTCTTCATATTCAGATACATATTCATGTCCTACCTCATTGCATAAATAATGGAGGTGAAAAACTCACTCTTGTAACTGTTATAAGCCAATAAAGAAAAGGAACACAGAAGAGCACATTACACTTTTGAAGTTCATGCCAGGAATAGTAACTTCTCAAGGTGACCACTGTGCACACAGAGAGAACACTAACCACCCAACTAAGTAGTCCTGGCTCAATCTGCAGGAACCATAGAAACTCACACAGACCCATGATGCTGAGGCTGGTTCTATATCAGGCATGACCCATCATTAAACTCCCAATCAAGTTAAATTTATGTTAATTCTTAGGTTAAACAATGTGTTATCTTTTCCTCCTTAATTTTCACCTTAATTCCTATGGTATCTATTAATTATTTGAATATCATTCCTCAGCTGCTCAGCTTTCTTTATCCGGGGATTCCAGCCATGCAGAAGTTATAAACAAATCACAGTTCTCTTACTATTTCTAAGTCAGTTGCAAACAACAGAAAGTAGCTTTGATAATGTAAGTAATAATGGAATATTTTGGATGATGAGGAGGTTCAGGGAGAAAGGAAACCACTGTCAAACCTGTGCTACAGAAATTATCTGTGTATGACAATGCAGCTGATAAAATTGCCACCCCAGACAGTTACTGGACTTAAAACTCAACCAGAGCTTCTGAGAACAATCTCTAGTGGACAGGAATAACAGATGGGTTGTCCAGAGGTCCCATGTCCACAATCTGTGGACCAGAAGGCAGGATAAAGGGCTATTGTTTATTTCCATCCCCATCTCCTATGTACTCTGGAATTCTACCCCATTCCCCAACTAGGAAGACTGTGTGGAGAGCCAAAACAACAACAAAATAGCCACTAACCATTGCAGAACAGTGGAAATAAGAGAACAAACATTTACTAAATCCTTTACCAAGGCAGCCACTATACTGGTGGTAGGGATCCAGGCCCTGCAGCCAGACTGGCATTGTTCAAATCCTAGCTCAACCACTTGCTGGTGCTGAGCCCATGCTGGAACCCATGTCAGTCTGACTTCAGGGCCTGAGGCCCCATCACTATGTCACTCAGTTTAGTCAGACAGTTTTTAACTCTTAAGTTCCTCATCAGAGCAAAGATGCCAATTTTTTTGAAAATCTTAGCATCCTTTTCAGGCTTCATATCTGCTTGGAAAAAAATCACCTAATCATATAAATTAGTTGTATAATTGACACATTTTCTTTCCCTTTACCTATCTTTTTTTCTTAAAAAAAAAAAATTACCTTAAATCTGGACTCAGTTTTCTCCTGAGCTCCTGAATGGATATCTGATTCACCAACGAACACTTAAAAACCAGCCTTATTGATAGATTTAAAATGGTGAATCATTTAAATACTCAAAATCAATGTCTCTACATTTTCAGCCTGGGAAATTCTCAACAAGAGATTCAGTATTAATCCTGAGGCATGATAGAAGTGCCAGAGATTCAGAGGATGCTTGGCTTCTATATTCTCAGGTCTTCTTGAGGTTGCCTCAGGCCACTTACACCTCTTTGTTTTTCCCTGGCTAATATCAGTTCTGGAAGGAAATGAAAGTCAGGAAAGAGAAAGGTGATGTTTTACCTCCCCGCTCCCTACACACACCTGTCCTTAGCCTAAACATTATTTTTCAACTCAGCTATCAAAATTCAAGCATGGAAGAAGAGGAGTTATCAAATACATCCAGATTTCATGTTGGGTACCAAATGCTAAGGAGATTAGGCCACAAAAATTTAAAAGAACATGGTCCATCAGGTTTTTTACTCACCTACAGTTAAATCTAAATTTGGAGGTGAGCCAAAATTAAAAATATAAAACATGCAGCAAGTGCTTATCTTCCACTTTCTAAGGTTTCCAGATTTCAGGGATAGGCAGAACAGTGAATGGTACATACTTAACCTAAAAAGTTATTCATTCTTTGTCCGAAATTCAAACTTATCTGGGTGTCCAACTCTATACTCTCTTTAGCACTGCTGACCATGATTGGCTTGGGTAGGAGAGTTCTTTGTTTGGGTGGGTGTTGGGAGAAGCACTGGTGAGTGTATTCCTATCCAGGACTGGTTTTGGCTCTAATTTTAGAGCCTTTGTTGGAAGAATGGAGAAGGACTGATCTCTTCTGTGTTTGGAAAACACTGATCGAAGGCTTTCAACAATAGCTTTGAATGTAAATAAATGTCTACTTAGCAGTCATCTTTTCCAGATGATTCTTATATTCTAAAATAACAAGATCATCACTTTTCTCAATTCAGTCACCTGAGACCGTTACTCCAAGGAGATACCTCAATGCAAGGCATCTTTACAGTAGTAATGTTAATGATGCAATCTGATAATGTGCGGTTCTCCTACAAAATAAAACTACTAATTACAAATAGGCTTATACTCTTGACAAATTAAGGAGGATTAACTTAAAATTTATCACTAAACAGATACTAACTCACAAAAACTTTGTAAAAGCAGGAACAACATATAATAGGGAGACAGTATTAGGCAGTGGTTAAGGATAAAAGCTCCAAAGTTTAATATCTCTAATACTGACTACTTCAGTGACTGACTTCAGTTTCCACACCTGCAAACTAAGTGCCAACCTAATAGGGTTTTTTGGAAATTAAGTGAGATTATTGACACTTTTTATAATGCTTGGTCCAGAGCAAATGTTTAAGATATTTTACCTGTTTTATATGGTATATCTAAAATTTATCTCCTTGGGATTCAATAAATATCCATGAACACTGAGCACAATTTCAGTTCCAAAAAGAAATCAATCTGCCAGAGAAACAAGAATAGATATGCTTGTTTTCAAGCAGAGACAATTTCTTTATAGGAAAAATGAAAATTAGTGACGTCTTACAGACAGTTAAACATATCAGCCACTCTTAGGTGGGAGCTTAAACCATGAAGTTAGTGTTTGTTTCTATTAATCTAAAAGAATTTTTCTTGAACCATGGCATAAAGTTTTCATGTTGCCTCCCACCCCACATAAACAGATTAGAAACTGTCATTTAGGGGCAGCTGGGTGGCTCAGTCGTTAAGTGTCTGCCTTTGGCTCAGGTCATGATCCTAGGGTCCTGGGATGGAGCCCCGAGTTGGGCTCCCTGCCCAGCGGGAAGCGTGCTTCTCCCTCTACTGGTCCCTCTGCTTGTGTTCCCCCTCTTGCTATGTC